TATTGCCTTGCCCTATGCGTTTATAGCCCAATCCATTAAAATAATAGGCGAAGCTCACAGCAGTTGTGAGCTGAATGTGGCAAAGCTATAAAAGTAACTAATTACAACTGTTTTTTTAAGCTACTCGCTGACCAAAGGAAATGAAATTGCTGTAGAACAAAAAATTGTTTGAAATATTGCTCTGTCTTTGGTATTATTTTAAAGCCATTTTGTATGATATAATAAATTATTATATATAATATAATATAATATAATAATAATATAATAAATTATTATATGTAATTATAGCACAGCCAGCAAATGAGAGTCTTTTGCTTTGCTGCCTGTCAGATAAGTCAGTTCAATGTGTGCTCTGCTATGCCAGCCTAAGCGTCTCGTCTAAAGTTGTCTGTGCCTGCTTCAAGGCAGTTCCTTAGCTTAATAACAATTTACAACTAAATGCTGGCTGTGGAGTCTCAATGCAAGCTGACAATTTAAGACTGTGCATATGAGCAACACAGAGAAAATGATGAAGAGTTTTTTAAATTTATTGCTAAGACGCAGCAAACAGTCAAGCAGCATCCAAAAGTTATCGATAACAGCAATAGCTGCCAAATATAGTCTCTTTCTACTTTGCTATGTTGAGTCAAAAAGTGTAGCATACTTTTTGGAGCTGCATGTTAATGCTTATGCAATGAGATGCAAAGGAGCTGTCTACGTGCAGTGTATCCTACCGATATGGCTCTATGGAGTGCAAATCTGGGGAATTGCTGCCAAATCCAATTATAAGCGCGTTCAGGTTTTGCAGAACCGAGTACTGCGACAGATAACCAACTCTCCCTGGTATGTACGCGGCTCAATACTTCACAGAGACCTTAAGCTGTTTACTGTCGAAGAGCAGATTGGAAGACACACAAGTAGATACACGGACAGACTGCAACGACACCGAAGCCTACTTGCAAGAGGTCCAATCCCTGCCAGACCCCTAAGACGACTTAAACGGCAAGGCTTTGCCAGTACGATGGGAATGGTGTAAACTGTCTCCTTTGAATTCCTCATATAGTGACTAGTTTGGCTCTAATTCCATATATATATATACATGTGTTGTTAAGGTACTAAATTTGATTGTACAGGTTCTACACTTTAATAAATATAAAAAAAAAATGAACTTTAAACAGCTCTGAAGATCTGTGCTAGAATAGAGCAAACATTTAGCTACATGAAATGTGCTATCAAAATTCTTGTCACACTTAACAGCAGCTTAAAGCTGTTGCAGTTGTTGCATTGTCATGCAAATGTCGTTGCTAAACATTTGGGCAAAAAGCAATGTTTTTGACGCACGTTGCGTATACGCAACATTGCAATTGCTGAACAATTTGCATTGACGTCACGTGGCAGGTAGCAGCAGCAGCAGCCGCAGCTGCCGTCATTGTTATTAGAGCATGTGACAGGCAATGCATTGGTGGTCAGCTTCCTTTTTTGTCTGTGTCTTTGCTTTGTTTTTACAGCGCATTGCGTTTGCATTATTGAAGCACTTTGGGGAGCGAACGCATTGCTTTTCAAATGTTGAGTCCATGCAATATTTATAAGCTGATTGCTGTCAGCCATAATCAACAGCGGCAGCAGCAGCAGCAAACACGCACAATTACAGTTCTGCATTGGGCGTTAGCACTGAGAGCTGGCAATGAGAGACAGATAGAGATAGCGATAGAGAAAGGCGGAAGAGCGCATTTCCCCTTGGCTCACAATGTGTGACAATCAATGACAGTTCTGTCGCTTGGCTTGCTGTCACGCCCCTTTAGGCAGTGGCGCCCGCCTATCGTCTCAGTCTCTTTTTCTCGCCATCTCTTTGTCTCTTTCATTTGGCCCTTGGGTCCGTTGCAGCGCTGCGGCGCATCATTTGTTGCTTTTGACGTTCTGCGTGCATTTAGAAAATTGGTATGGGAAAACTATTTTTCAACAGGTAAAATGCAGCCTGAACCAGCAAACCTCTGCCACCTGCCACGGACTATTTGCTGCCAAACTGGACCAAGCTCAAACGAACGCTGAGCGTTGTTATAGAAAATCAAATGGCAAAGTACGTAAAGTTTTTGTTTAAAGCTCGAATGGAAATTGAAATTCCAAGGCGCAAAGCGGTTGGGGGCTGGCTGGCTGTGTGTGTGGGTGGTGTGTGTGGGGAGGTGTGCAGTTGTGTGTGTGCCTTATCGGTTTTGTATTGAAACACAAGCTAAAAACGGGGCAACAATAAATTTTGCAGCGCATACTTCAAATGTCTAAATGCGGCAGCGATAAAAAATTTCTTTATTGTGCCAAAAGCACACACACACACATATATACACACACACACACATGTGTAGCGTCCGGCTTGCCTTTGAGCGTTTTACATTGCATTCCCTTTCTTTTTGGACTTTGGCTTTGACAGTTTTAGCAATTTATATTTATTTTGCCTGCAGCACACACACACATGCACACACACACACACACACACACAACTAGCCATTGGCCACTTGTGCATAAATTAAGATAATCGCGCATCGCATTTGCTGCTTAGCATGTTAGCCTTGTGCGCTTGTCGCTGACCTCTATTAACTGTCAGCTGCCTGGCCAACAATTTATGGCCACATCAAACTTGCCTGGCAGCTGCTTGCTTAACTGTAACTGGCTTTAATTTGATGGCGTTCAATTGTCGCGCTCGCTGCCTCCACGCCACTTGGCCATTGTTAATGTGTGCCAATCAGGCTAAATGGCCATAGCTCATCAGCACCAGCGCTGGCCATATTTTGAGTGGGCCATGTCAATTGGCGGCTTGAGCTGTCAACGGCTAATGAATTGTTTGCAGCCGCAGCTAATCAATGAGCCGCCGCCTGCTTGAGCGCTGCAGTGCTTCAGCTTCAGCTACAGCTTCAGCTTCAGCTTTAAGTTAAAATTTAAGCGCAAATTTAAGGCAGCAAAGCTAGAAGGGAAACATTATGCGGTTGACCCAAAAACAGATGCTTATTGAGCCAACTGCTGACCACTAAGCACGGCTCACAAAACCATGTAAATTATTTGCATAAGTACTCGACGCTGACAGCAGAGCCAACCATGGAAGCAAAGAGAGAAAGAGTCACGAATGGCTTCAAGTTGGGTTCATTGTTGGCCTGCGGCACGTGCCGCTCATATTTAAGCACACACACTGTGTGTGTGTGTGTGTGTGTGTGTGATCAGTGCCTTGGCCATTAGCTCAGGCCGTCTCCCTCTCTCTGTTGGCCATTGGGGTCTCCTTGTTATTTTAATGGCCATTTTACTGTGTCGAATTCGAGTTGTTTTTGTCTGTTCTGTCATACTCGACCTTAGACAGGCCATGATTTTAATACCACTTTAATATCATTTTTTTATGCCACGCTTTGGCCAAATAAATACGTGCTCAAATGCTGGCCAAATGCTGCCGTTATTTCATCTCAATGATTTGACAGATTCCCAATAATGCAGCAGCAACAAATGCACAATATTAAAATTAAGGAATGTGTAGAGAAGCGTATCGATCTAATATTATAATAATTATATGTTAAAGATAGAGAGACAGAGAGAGAAAAAGAGAGAGAGAACTAGACTAAGAGTAAGACAGAGGCAGAAGGCAAAAGGGGGACAATGGGGCAAGAGATTCAAGATATACGAGACTAATACATATGCCTAGACAAACAGAATGATGCAAAGAACTGATAAAACTCTATATTTCATATATATAGAGAATATGAAAGTCATATATAAAGAGATGACACGACCGTCTTTATACTTAAAGAAAGAGAGGGAGAGGGTGAGATAAGTAATATTATTTTTTATATATTATATATTATAAGTAAAATTATTTTTTAATATACTAAATAGTTATAGAACGAAACAAATGATGAAATACATACTTTTAGTGCTAATATAAAACAGTGTCTCAGCCCAAAATATTTTGTTTACCATCTCTAGTTTACCCCTCCATAATGGTTGAAAGCTCTTGGTTAGCTTTCCCAAGAATTACGTTGAGCTGCGTAATGGGCACGATTAGAAACATTTGCACCGAAAGTCACCTCAATCCAGCTGAAGTGTATTCGATATTCTTTGCGTTAAGCTGACGTAATGAATCAAATAGTCTGATAAGACAAACACAAAAAAAAGCAAAGCAAAACATAGTGAAATTGTGATAATTTCGCATTTTTTATTGTTTCAAAGTGCGGCATACACAAGAGCTTTAACGACAGTACTTGATGTATAATATAATAAACCGTTTTAAATAGGTTTAATATATGAAAATATAGCAAATGTATGCGTATTAAGGCAAATGTATGCAAGCACTTGACGCTGCCAGACAATAGATGGCGCTAGTCAAGCGCTTTCGCCTCTAAGTTTATTTACGCTTGGGAGATTTCAATTTCATTCGGGTTCATTTCGCTGAATTCAACTTTTGAGCACTTCCGGGAATAAGTGTCCTTGGTTTTATGTTGTTGTTGTTGTTTCTTACAGTTTGTCGCGCATATTAGAAAAGTTGTAGTGTTTTTCTTTTATTGCTTTATTTCTTTTTGCCTTCGAAATGAGCGCATTAAAATAATTGTTGCTGCTGCTGCTGGTGCTGCTGCGCACAAATGAAATTTGTACGCGTGTAATTTATGCAATTTCTCTTGTCACTTGTCATTTCAATTTATATAACATAAATTTGAGCATTGGTCTTTGGCATTGGACTTCCGCTTTGGCTCTGGCTTTGGCCAAATGCAAATTGAACCAAAACTTTGGCCGCCAGCTTTCGAGCGTCAAGTGGCATGGGAGCAGACAGTTTTTAATTAAAATTAATGCAAAGGGCAAGTGCTTAATGTGAATGTGTAGCACTTGCCACATGCCACCTGCCACCAGCCACTTGCTCTAGGGCATTCAAATCGATTTTGAGATTGAAGATTTTCTACAATTTTCAACAAATTTTCAAATTTTCAAATTTTCAAATCTTTATTTGCAATAAATAAAAGAGAAAAACTTAAGAAAATTCTAAACATTTCAAAATTTTAGCCATAAACAAAAGTGTTTATTGGTCTTTTGGGATCCATCGTAGGCGGTAGATGAGTCTGCAGTATCTCCGTGCTGTTTTCCGCAGCTTCAATTGTTGTTTCCACATAATGATTGTAGAGGATGTTCAGCAGACCAGCAACGAGCACTTTGGACAAATATATATATATATTTATATATGCAACTATATATATGCTTAGACCTTTAGCTAAAAGCTCACCTGAAATACACCAGGCCAAAGTGCAGCCAAGCAGTGAATAGTGCGCGACGAGCTCCTGCAAGCCAGCATAGAGCAGGGCAATGAGCGTGATCGAAGTTGCTAGCATCCAGAAGATTTGGAATTTATCCTTGTGCTGCCTGTGCGCTTTCAGCACGCCGAAAAGTAGCGCCAACGTAGCCGCGAACTGCAGTAGGCGAATTTCCTCCAATTTCTGATTCCCTAAATATAAATTGAACTTACACACACATATATATATATGTAAACATATGGCTACAGCTAGTATGTATGGATCTTACAGCGATAAGGCAGCGCAAGTGTGGCCATAGTTAGGCCAAAAGCCGAAAGGCCAATGCCAATTTCCATATATCGCTTGAGCGACAACATGGCGTTTCAAACTAACGTTTCAACGTTTCAAAGCTAACTAAACTGAATGATAAGCGTAAATCAATATATGTATAAAGCTGATAGCATGTTTATCTTTATTGGATTGTTCACTTTTCCTCTCTCCCGCTCTCTCTCCCTCTCTCTCTCTCTCTCTCTGTCTGTCTCTCGATTCCTTTATCAACTTTATTGCGACTCTAGTTGAAAATCAACTTAATGTCGTATTAATTCTGTATGGTTACATTTAATTGATCGTATGAAGGCAACACATCCTTGGTCTCCATAACTGGAGTTGTGGCCTGAAGAGGAGCTACAGCTGTAGGCAGGTTGTCCTTCCTGAATTCCACATATGTCCCATAGACGAAATGCAGCATATATCCAAGAAGTGCTGCAATCAATATGTATTTCACATATGCGAATCATCAATTCGAGACTTTGAACTCAACTGAACAAAGGGCTGAACGACTCACCTGTTGCACCCATAATGCCGAATAGCCCAAGTAACTGCAGCAAAAAATCCCAAAAGTCATAAAAATTGAATAAATCCTGACCTATATATAATATAGTGAAATAGCTGAGAAAGCCAAACAGGAAGCTTGTGGTAAGCAACCAGAAGAGCACGAATTTATCCTTATGCAGCGGCTCCTTCTTCAGCAGGCCAAAGAGCAGAGAAGCAGTTGACATCACCTGCAGGCCACGCAACATGTTCAGAAAAACGGCATCTGCATATTAAATATCGTCTATTAGTTCGAACTAAACACACATATATATGTATATATATATATATATATATATATCATCATATATATATATATATATATATGCATCTATTACATACAGTCACGATAAGAATAACTTCCATCTATGCCAAATGTGCCTAGGGCAAAGCCTAAGGCAATCGGGCCACTTGCGATTAGGCAATTGCGTTTGGTTAACAACATTTCGACTCGGCACTTGAAGACTAACTGAAATTTTGATAGTTCACACAGCGGAATACACGTTGAGCATTGTTATCAATCGACACTGACTGCGCAATACTCGTTCGACAAGAGTTCAGAAATTCATTCTTTGTTCCAAATCAAAAATACAGCCTGAGCAATACTCGCTCGGAGTCGCAGCTATATATTCTAAATAGATAAAGATATATATATTTATACATATATACTGATATATATATTTATATATATATAAAGATATATATTTATATTTTTCATTTATATTTTTCGTACAATTTGATCAATTTCAAGCTAACACGATTCTGTTTTGTAAAATCTAATGGCGCACACTAAAATGCCCGATTCACTTTGTGAGCGAGCATAAACAAAGACTGAATATACATATATATAAACTTGTATATACATTTCATACACATTCTCTTTGTGGGCGAGCATAAACAAAAGATATTTTTATCAGCCCAATCAAGAGTGTTGTCTTGCTATCTTTTTTGAGAGATATTTCTTTATGATGCAGATAAAGAATTTTGAAATTTGTTTGCTCTCCAGAGTATTGATAATTATAAACTGGAAGTAATGGCAACTAACAAGCCGCTGATAAATTAATTGATTATTTCACACTGTATTTATACATATATACACACATAGATACATAGAACAATTGTGGCACTGCAACTAATATGCTCGCTCTTCACTGGATGAGTAAGCATAAGCGAATATATATTTTTTATCAGCCCAAGTTTAGCTGCCGCGCTCCCTGTCTCTCTCTCTATCTCTCTCTCAGCCTTGCTATCTGTCATAGATTACAATTGGTAATTTTATTAAGCTTATCAGTTAAGACACATTCACTTCAACGGTCTCAGTATTTGTCATCGACTCCGACTGCAAAGTTTGCGTCTCGGCTTCATTCGTTTTGCTCAAGCTCAACTGTTCGTATACCGCATAGACATAATACATCAGATAGCCAATAAGAGCTAATTGTATATAAAAATAATATTAACATTTTCGAATATGTTTATAAAGTCTTTCGATATTTACCCAACTTGTTAAACGAAAACCACGTCCAGGGCAATGATACAATTAGATCAGTTTTCTCGAACAAAAGATGCCTTAAGCAAAACATGCTCCTATAGCTCATGTGACTCATTATTATGAGCGTTGAGCAGAGCCAGCAGAGTATCAACAGAGGCCGAAAGCGCGCTTTCTCATCGAGTGCGGCATAGAGCAAAGCAGCAGTTGCAATCAACTGCAACAGTTGCTCATAGATTAAATATATTGGCACTATAATCAAATATACATAAAAAAAGAACACAAATATATATTGTATGTATATATATATATATATTATATTATATGTATAAATACCATAAATTACAATCAACAGCATACACACAGCGATGACAACGAGTTTATTTCGTTGGGTCGACAACATTTTGACGTGACGTTTCGCATGCAACTAACGTTAAGTTCAGTAAGACTTATCTTCCTTGTAAATTGTTCATATTTCTTTTATTTCTAACGAAGGTAAACAACAGCTAATCGGGCCGCATTTAACGCATTATTTATCGATAAGATCTGCTATCAGAAATTTCTCTTTTATAGATTTAACAATCAAACATTCAACAAGTCATAAATATTGCAAATAAATAAAGACGGAATTTTATGGATTTATAGCCAATAATAAAGAGACTTATTCTATTTAATTAAAATATTTACTTTATAAAAAGTGTCATATAAGACGCAGAGATATGCTAGCAATAGCTTATCACAATATCAATTTCTATATCAATTGAAAATATTTATAAATTAGAATAATATGTCACGGGCAAAGCAAGATTTAGCTAATAATATGCCAAGAGTTTAAGCGAGCAGTAGTTAGTAGTTGCAGCGGTTAGTTAGCTTGATCCTGCAGGACTTCATATGGACTTTAACCCTTGAAGCTATTAGAATATTGTAATTTTTGAATGGAATTAAAAAATTTATGAAATTGTTATATAAATTTATATATATATTTATTTACATATATTATTCTTCAACTTATTAAACCTTGAAGGACTCATATGAAAAAATAATATAAATCAATTATTTATAATATTTATAATATTAGCTAAAGCTTCAATTGGTTCTAGTAGGATATATTAATAAAAAATAATTATTTAATTCTTTAAACTTTTATTTTAATTCTTTAAACTTGTATTTTTCATTATTATTTTATTTTCTTTGCCTATAGGAAACTGTAGTTAATATAATTTCCAGCTAGATCTCTAGCAGTCCATAAGCTCTCTAACAGCTCATAAAAATACCCTCAATTTTTGTTAAGGTAAAATGTTACTAGATTCCACTTTGAAGACTTATGCAGGCTAAAGAGCTCTTCTCAACAACTCAATAGATCTCTCAATAGATAGATACACAGATAAAAGCTGCGCGCAGACTTTATATCAATTTGACTTTATTATTTAATAATATTGAATATTTATTATTTTTCATTATTTTATATTTTCTATATATATTATTATTAAGTTTTAACTTTGTATACTCGAATGAGATATTTCTAGCATAGTTTGTCGATCGGTATAACTATATCGACGCAACTAAAATCTCCTCAGCTTCGGCTAACTTTACAAGAAGCTGAACCTATTAAGACTTTGTCTTTATGAATATTTGAGCAAATAGTTTTATTATTATTTCTTTGGCTTTAAGGACTGGCGGACAGACAGGCAGGCAGGCAGGCTTTGGTCTGTGCATGTTGTGAGCCTGAAGCATATTAACTTTTAACTTTTTTGGCAAGCCATTTGACCACAAAGTCAAAAAGTTGCATTCATAAGAAATCCAATTGGTCACACACACACACACACACGCACGCACTCAGCCATGAAAAGTTCATAAAGCAAAATGAATGCATAACTAAATCAGGCATACACACAAACTTAGACACACCCACACACACAGACACACACACACAGTGAAGCACATTGTGCATTCATGTTCATTTGATAGCTAAACTTTTGCTATTTGTGCATAGAAAACTTTTGGTTTTTTGGGGTTTTAGTGGCAATTATTTTTACATTTAGCGAGTTAAGTTCTTAAATTGGCTGCCACCGAACATATAAACAGGTGCAGGCGGGGCGTGGCCCGACAGTTCCTCTTCGATCCAACGCGCTCGCTTAAGTTCTCATTCTCTCTCTCTCTGTCTGTCTTTATCTGGCAGGCAAAAGGCGAAAAGTTTTAGCACAACTTTTCAGCGAATTGAGTTTTTAATTAAAATTTGTTTTACTCTAACACACACACACACACACACACACACATATATATATACATGTTGTGCCTCTCACATAAGTCATTATGGCGCTTGTGACGTCACTCGCTCAGCGTAATTTATGAATATTTGTAATTAACATTGCCTCCATGCAAAGGCAAGATGGAAAAATCATAATAAATTTCATCTAATTGCGTTTTTATGATGCCAAGCAAAAAGTTTGCTAAGGTAGCGCGGCCTATAAATAAGCGCAGACAGACACAAGACGCAACTCAATTGTGGGCCTGGCTAATGGCACAGCTGAAAATTTTGAGCCGAGACAGCTAAAAGCCAACTTCTCTATGGCCCAATTGCCGCAGCTCTTATTACCTTGTGCCCCACAGGGTATGCGCTAGTCGAGCAGCTGACTGCGCTGCTGCAGCTTGATTGTATATTAATTTGCTAGTTTATTAGGCGTGAATGTTAAAATGTAGCGAAAGTTTGGCCATTACCAAAAGCAAAAAATCTCTTTTCTCGCTGCTCATGAATCAAAGAAAAAACAAAAGAAAACCTGGACAAGCTGCTGTGCGTGTGTGTGTGTGTGTGTGTGTGTGTGTGCGGGCACTCGTCTAAATTATCAGCTTGGAAGCTGAAAGGCCGCTACTAGGGCAACTGTTTTGTTCATTTATTTCATTTAAATGCGCATTTAAATCTATTTAAAAGTCCACATGAGCCCAGGCACAAAGCTTCCCTAAAAATAAAGGGCAAATAAAAGGCACAAACTGTGTGTGTGTGTGTGTGTTGGTTTAGGTTCAGGTTCGGTTCGCACGGTTCATATGGTTCACGTAGACATGTACACACATAGGCGCTAGCTGTGGGGCAAGAGTTCAGCTCTCAGCATGATTTAACGATAATGAAGGTATTTACGAGTTTTTAGCCTTAGAGTCGCTGAGCAAAAGCAAAACTCATCATAATGCCGCCAGCAAAAGGTTATACAACACCACAAACAGAAGGAGAGAGAGAGAGAGAGAGAGAGAGGTTTGCGAGAGAGATAGAGATAAAGCGAAGCACACCTGAAGCTCTGGCATAGAGAATTGCTTCATTCTTTTATTTTTTGTCTTTGTTGTTGTTGTTGGTCTATACGCATGTCCTGGCACTCGTAAGATGTTTTGCAAAAGTTTTCTTTTTTGTTGTCGCCGTTGATAAGGACAATGACAATGACAACTACTCGAAACGACAGCAGCCCAAACCACTCACCCACGCACACACACATAGATGGAAAATCCCTTTAGCACAATAGCTAAAAGTTCTGCACCTTTCCATAATCTACTTGAGCTGTAACACGTAATCCCGGCAAAAGGGAATGTCAGCGCGCACCTTGTGCGCTAATAAAATTTAATTTGCTATAAAATCTCTCTTTCTCTAGCTCACACCCACACACATGCACATTTAGCTGCTGCTGTCTCTGCCATAAAGCAGCGTCAACATAATTACATCGACTCAAAATGAAAATGAAAATTTTTATTTTCCAATTTATGATCCGAAGTTAAACCAATTTTTTTAGTGCCATTTAATACTAAGCAGCCCGCATTGAATTCAAATTAGCCAAAGAAAAAAAAAGGAATGAAAATATGAAAATCTAAGCAATAAAGAAAAGTCCATATTTTACTACATACGTCTGTTAAATACTCTATTAAGCAAGTGTAGCCCAGCACACTTAAGTCTAAACTTAATGTCAGCTTTTGACAGCTAGTTAATTTATGATTATCCTATGCTTAACAGCAACCACAGTGGAACTCAAATTGTAGTGATTAAAGCAGCTAGCACATAGACTAGTTGTCACGAGGCTTAACATGGACTTGCTGTTTGATAACATGCACATTGACAAGTAGTTGATCTTTTGTTAAGCTCAAATGCAACACAATTATCTTTTAGCTAAAACTAAATCTTACATAATTTCTGATTTGAATATAAACTGAATGTCAAACTGCTTATCAGCTAAAAACAGCTTTTAAAATAGCATTTAACAATGTCGCTATAGTTACAGTCACATTGCAGTGCATTGCAATCGACATACACTTGGAGCATAACTTAGCTAGTTAGTTAAACATCAGCATATTCTCACGACATATTTAACTGATGGTCAAGCCTATTGTCAACTAAAAATTGATTGAAAAAGCCACTTACATTCACACACTTTCTCAGCTATTCCAGCCACAAACAACTGCAGGTCTATTTGAATGAGGTTTGACATTCATTTAACTGCCAGTTGACATTCAGTTTAGCGAACCTTAACTTAAGTTTTAGCTACATTCGCAATCAGTTCAATATCGAGTCAGCTGACTTTTTCACTAAAATTAACTCAATCTGCTTCTCACTATTTAACTGATTGTCAAGCTGTTTGTCAACTGACAAGTAGCTCGTTCGCCAAGCTCATAATGAAACAGTGACTTGATTGATTTTATAGTTGAAAAGCAAATTGAGCAGATCGTCAACTGAAATGAACTTTGACAGGCACTTAACTGCCAGTTAATGTTAATTTTTAGCCCTTGTGCCTTAGCTGCAGCTACAGCTTCAAGAGCAGCAGCCAAATTTGATTACATTTTCTAAATGTTGTCCCCACCCCGACCACTCCTTGTCCGCTCAGACTTCTATAGAAATTTTATGATGCCTGCGTCTGTTGGCTGCATAAATCCGCTTCCAGCCGATGGTGTGGGGGCGTGGCTGTGCTGGGCGCGGCTGTGGTTGCTGCTAGTTTAAGCGCGAACAAAGGCCAGAGTTGAGAGAACTTAACCCGATGCTGCCGCAGCTGAAAATCGCATTACACGGCGGTCGAGCGGTGGCACGTGCCACACGTCGTTGCATTCGTCAACAAATTTGCGGCGGCTGCCGCTGGCCAAACTGCTCGTATTATGCATGTCCGCTCGGGCGCTGTTAATTGTAATGGGCAGCCTTGCTATCGAAGTGCTGTCCTTCCTCCAAAAGACAAAGGCCTGAAAAGGACTTTCAGTGGCTGTTGCTGTTGCTGTTGCTGTTGCTGTTGCTGCTGGCAGTCAGCCCAAAACAGCTTTTTGTTGCAGCTGATTGCAGTTGCTTTTGTGCGCTGCATTAACCGTAATAATTGCTAAAGACAATGCAGCTGCCGGCGATCTCAACCTCGCTCAAGCTCACCTCAACACACGCCGCGTATACGCAATGTCTCCCATGTGGCTTTTCGCTTTGTGGCTTTTGTGGCATTCGCTAGCTCCCAACCCCCCCTCTCTCTCTCTCTCTCTGTCTGTGTGTGGTTGTGTGTAGTTGCGTGTGTGCATCTTCCCTTGCGGCTTGCCTTTGGCACATTTTCAATTATAATTATTAACAGCTAGCGCATGCTTTTTGCTATTGGTTTGGGTAGCCAGGCAGCAGCCCACCTTCCTGAGCACTCAAATGCACTTGATGCTTGCGCAATTTCCTGACTACTATGCATTGTCCTTGCGCGTTTGCCTGTCCCTGTTGTAGTTTCTTTTTCTTTTCGTTTTTTTTTTTTGTGTTTATGCTCGTTCATAAAGGGCTGGAGCAAGTATATGCAATGTCTGCCTTGCAGTCTGCCTGCCTTTGGCACTCTCGTCTTCTGAAGATTCTTGAGATGTTGCCGATGCACTCGATACTATATATTTAATAATACTATATATTTTGCATCAGAAATGCTGCTATCTGATGCTTCTGATTTGGTATTTCAAATACAGACCTGATGAATGTCTTGATTTAGGGAAAAATGGCATCTTCCACAGCTTTAGAGCAAATATGAACTAGTAACTGTTGAGCTGCTCTACAGAACGCTCAAAAATCGATATATCCATGCCTACTGGAGGCAAGACCAATTGCCACTTAAAGAACAGATCAAGCTTGTCTAGCAACACCTGTTGGAGGCGTGGCAAGTCACTAAAGCTTGTGGCGCAAGTATCCGAAAATCAAGTCAAATATTACTGAATGGATTTCGGCAAGAGTTCGCCTAGAAACTTGATCAGCTTAGTAGTTTATATTTAAACCTTGAGCGAGTATCATGCAGTCGCTTAAGCTCAACTGCAGCGTTTTTACTTGCTTTATAGCTGTAGTTGTTTTAAGTGGTATTTTTTGCAGTCCATGTAGTTGTAGTTTCTTTTATTTATAATTTTTTTTTCTATACTCTCTCTCTCTCTCTATGTAGCTCCCTCTGTCTCTGTCTCTGCTTTTCGTTCTGCCATTTTTTTGCCCAAAGGCAACTTTTAACATTTAATGATGCTGCTTTGTATTTTAATACGCTTTGCTTGCTTTTGCCAGCTAGAGCCCAGCCCGGCACCCACAATCCAGCACGTGCCATAAGCAGCGCTTTGTAAAAACTTTTAAGTAGACATGCAACGTGGCCAACATTGGCAGCAGCAGCAGCAGCAGTACCTGCCTCTCGCTAGCTCTCTCTCTTTCTCTCTCTCTCTCTCTCTCTCTATCTCTCTTGCTGTGCCACACACTTTGCGCTTTAAGTTATCTACTCAGTTCCAATTTCTTTTTCGTTTTTTTTATTCTTCTTTTCTGTACTCAGCCTGCCAAGGTGTTTGCAGCAATTTGTGTCAGCCGGCTTGGATTCGTATTGTGTGTCCTTACAGACGTGTCCTTGACAGAGCTGCTGCTGCTGTTGCCACAACGTGCGGTGCACAGATTGTGCCAATTTAACCTGTTGCTCTCAAGACTAAAGGACTTCAAGTCTACATGCTTCAAGCTGTTACCCTCTCATATATATATTTATATATATATATATATATATATATATGTATATATATTTGCTTTTTGCATATATTGCTCTTGGCAAAAGTTTTGAATGAAAGTCGGAAATGAATTGCATTCGCGTCATGTGCGCGACGCCAGTTTTAATGCAATTCCAATTTAACTTCGTTACACACAGTTTCTATTCGCAAATCGCATTCGCGCATTGCCAAAAAGTTTGCCAACAAAATCACAAAGTAATTGCAATTCGTTCGCAAAACACAATTTAACGAAATTTAGTTCAAAGTTTCAAATTGAAGGCAACTTGGCAGGTGAAATCCCCCTCCACACTCAAATTCTGAATACTTAACACAATTCACAATGGCTAGAGCTAAGAGCCGAGTACAGCTACATTTTGGCCAAAAACCTGATTGGCACTTGCGTCTAGCTTGACTTTCTTTTACTTGACTCGACTCGAGTCGACTCGACTCGTCTCGCCTCGACTGCAGCTGCTATTGCACAAGGCAAATGCAAATGACGCACATGCTCTCAGAGTCATTACAAATTAATTTCACACGTGACTAAGTCGACATAGCAGCAGCTCCATTCACTTGAGGAGCTGAGCTCGAGCTGCTCTAGCTGCCAGCATCAGGCTGGGCAGCAAACTGACATTATGTCAGACATATGACATTCAATTAGGGAAAAGTTGTTGCATCTTGATGAGCAAATGCGCCATATAATGTGCCCCTCACCTCTGCCACATGGTTCACATGGCAGAGCTGGCCATGGCTGCTTGCTGATTGCAGATCCTTTGGGGAGCGTCATCGATGATGATGCTGTTAAGCCAGGGGAAAACAACTCTGCGTGTGTGTGTGTGTGTGTGTGTGTGAATGCAAATGGAAAACTTACAAGATGAATTTAATAACTTGAAACTGCTCAAAATATGTCAAAGGTTCTTGTGTACATAACTGTAAAGGGCAGCAGCACTTTCAATGAGCCATCATCGAGAGAAAGCTGCTTAATTAGGTAACGTGACAGAAGTTGAAGAGATGATTCAGTTTTGATGTAAAATTAGTACAAATTGTTGTTAATTTTAAGTGAGGCGGGAATTTAAAGTGTTTTGAATAGATTTGAGATATCACTTAGCACACGTAAGGTTCAATATAAGAGGCAGAGAGAGAGAAAGACTTGGATGTTGTCAACAGAACTTGTAAATATTTGAGACGTAATATAAATATGCTTGGACATTAAATATATTAAAAACATTAAATTAATTTCAATAAATATATAAGAATTATATTAAATTAATTAATAATGCAAATTTCAATTTTTATTCAAAATTTCAAAGAAATTAAACAAAAATTAATATAATATTCTTGAATGGAAATATTCATGATGATGATATGTTCGCACTACATATATATATATATATATATATATATATATATATATATATCTGCATATATAAGTCTGCTTTCTTAGACATACGGCATTAATTTCCATCTAAACAGGCACACAATTACCTAAGCTTATTTATAGAACTATATATGATTACAAGAAATAGCAAAAGATATGAAATTCCATATCATAAATATGTCTAATATATCAAACTTTCAAAAATAAACAGCAATGAGTCAGGGAGCGCTAGTAGCTGATATGAAAACCTAATTAATTAATTGTTAAGTTTATTAAGTGAAACGCTAATTTACAGGCAATTACAAATTTCAAGCGACTCAAAAAAAAATTTTTTTGCAGTTGAAATTAAGGAATAACTCAAAAACGAGTAACTGAGTTATCAGCGCCACGTTGTCCGTAGAATTTCACTAAAAACGTGGATAGATTTCTTTGGACACAGGCCAACTCAGCTGTATGAAAGAACTTCACTTAGCTTGATAAATATTTGATGGATTGCACCTATGTAGATCTTTCTAAGCACAAAGCTTAACTATTTATGCGACGCTAACTTTTTTGTTATTACCAGTTTCTAGTAGATCTCAAGAGATACAGAGTATTTAGTATATGTATTGAAGACTAAAGCGATTTCAACTTAATAAACAACAAACCTAACCTGTATTCACAGATAAGCGAATAGCTCTGGTTTCAGATTCAATTGAATATAATGCATTTATGTATGTACATACATACATAAGCTTTATATAGTTTGAAAAACAGGCTGCAAAAAAGTCACAGAAATAAACAGAGAGACAGAAAAAAAGAATGAGAGTGGCTGAGCGAGAAAGTGACCGCAATAAAGGCAACGACATATAGAGCGGGAGAGCGAGAGAGCGGGAGCGCGAGAGCGAGAGCGTAAATTATAAGCTACAAAAGGTGATTGTACAGTAACATTGTGCAGTTAGTTATGCCAAGCAGAGAGCGAGAGAGAGAGAGTGAGGGAAGCCATACGTAACGAAGTGCAAGCAAGCAAAAATGCAAAAAAATCCAGTTTCTATTGGACTCTTGCAATCACATTAAATTTTCTTGCAATTCAGTATCTGTGCAATCGTTGACGCAATGAGGCAATACTTGAACCCAAAACGTGTGGAAATTCTCATTGTCCTGCTGGTCATGGGCGTGGCGCTGTGGATGTCGCTTTTTGCGAGTGTCAGTAGGTGCATAAATTATGTATATATGTATATGTTATGTATATATATATTTCTTAAATCCAGCATTGATTTTCCAATTTGTGCCTACGTGCGTGATGCTCTTTGGCATTTTGAAGGCTCACCAGCAGCATAAGTCTAAATTTATGCTCTTCTGGATGTTGGCAACGACTTGTCTTTTCTGTCAACTGATCATCTATTCCGTCATCAAATGGGAATATTGGGACATTCTCAATTCGATAATTTCAATCTCCATCATGTGGTTAGCTGCAAGTGAGTATACATTTTATAGATAATATATATACATATAATTTGGCTATATGTACTACAGTTGCCGTTCTCTATATGCTGACCATCATGTACAATCATTATGTGGAGCTGACTCTGGGTCCCCAAGAGCCCGCAGAACCACCTAAAGAAACTGAAATCTCGAAAGAGCAATTGGCCAAATTGAATGGTCAAGTTTGAGGCCGCCAGTGTCCAACGCAACTGCTGCGAATAAATAAATAAACTTTTGTTTATCTTACCCTTATACATTGATAAATGTTTGTTTATTTTCTTCGCATCTAAGTTCAACAAATAGAGGGCGTTCCAGATGAGTTGGCGGAGAGTACGATGTATGTCGAAAATACTTGACTTGAATAGAGAGGGGACAGTTGGAAAGAGCTGATGAGAGAAATACATGATATATAGATAGTTAGATAGAGAGAGATAGTTGACTAATATATAGGGAGAGAGAAACAAAGGGAGCTGTAGAGAGCCAACGAGACATATATATGGATAGTGACACACAGAGCAATTAAAGTGTATTAAAAAAGTCGTTGCATTTATAACTAGGGTATCAAAACATAATCTGAGAGTCTGCAGAGGCTGCAAGACAAAAACATTTCATTTCGATATTCGCTCACAGTGGGCAAAGTGCAAGTTGCTCAGATTATGCAGACTGCGACAGCAGTTCGCTTCGATTGCAGTTTCCTCTCCCAGAGAGCTGCTTTCAGCTGGAGCAATTCTTGTTCGTAGAGCAGCTCAGCTCTTGCAGCTGCAAGCTGATCTCAGCTAAAGTAATTCTCTTAAAGAGAAAGCTGATCGCTAGCAGCTGCAAGAAATTTTATTTTTTTTCAGCTTTGCAACATTTTGCCTTAGTGGCAAATGCGAAATGTAAATTGATTATGGTCCAGTATATATATGTATATATATATATATATATATATATACATGTTTTGATGATATATAATCAGCAGCAGCAGCAGCAGCTATCAAAACAACGCGAAATGTTTATATTAAAAAATTTCTCAGCTCAGTTTTTGGCTTCTTTTATTTTCATTTTCATTTTTTTCCATTGGCAAAAGTGAAAATGCGAAAATGGCGAACTCGAAATATGAGCAATAAATGATGAAAACGAGGGGCGGGTTAGGGGCTGACGTCCATCAAAGTCCTTGAGCTCAACCAGAGCCATCTATTGGACAGCACTTGCAATAAAGCTGACCAGCAATACAGCAATAAAGCAGCTAAGCCCCCCTTTTGGCCTCCAATCCTCCGCCCAATCAGCTGCCTGGGGCATTGCGTTGACGTTGGAAAATTAAAATTACACAGCACAAGTTGCAGAGTGCAGAAATATGCGAGAAGGCATCCAAAAGGAAGTCGAAGTGAAAGTAGAAGAAGCAGCTGCCAAAAAAGAAGCTCGAGGAAAAACAAACTGAAAAACCGGAAACGGCGTCCATTGGTGCTGGCGGCCACAATTATTATTTTTATTCCCAACAACGCAGCTCGCATCGAAATTAAGTCAACACGCAGCTCCGCAGCTCCATCTGCTTCTTTTTGTCTACGAAATACAGCTCAACAGCTAAAACACTAAAAAAAAAACACTTTGCAAAATTTTTAAATGATATTTAATTACATGGAATATATGAAAATAGCAAATTAAATGCATTTCAATAAATTTTAATTAACAAATTCCACTTTATACTAATTTATAAAAAATACATTAAAAATTAGTATTTTTTTGAGTCTTATTTATTTTATTTTACTTGCTTTTAAAACATTTTTTGTTCAGTCAAAAATAAAAAAAATTAAAATTTTTCTTAATATATATACATTTATATAAATTTCTAGCAATTATTAGCTATTGACAATGTTAGAAAAAAATATTTGCTGGAAATAATATATAAATAACAACTATAAATTACTTTTAAATTTAAAAAAAAATTTAAGATACTTAAAAACTGTGTTTTACATCAAGTCAAATTAAATCAGCAAAAAGGCTAAATTGGCAACACTATATAAACATATATATATGTATAAATATATGAACTCGTGCTTACGCAGTTTGAAACTGTTGTGAAATCCAATAAAATTAAGTATATTTCCGTTGTAACTGCAGCCAATCAGAACATTTGTTTATCACAAGAAAGCGACGGGTTCAATGCGTGTATATCAAAATAAAAGCAAAGCAAAGCAAACAAAGTATTTATCATAATATAAAACTGCGATAAGGTTATAAAAAAAACAAGTAGAAGCAATTCAGTTAGTTTTGATAGCTAAAAAGTGGAGGCTCGTCCACCTTAGCTGTTATCTTGGCCCAGTTAGCAAATGGCAATGGCATGTCACAATCTCAATCACTAGTCGGACATACCCGCTTTATTATCGCTGGATTAGGCCACTGGCAGCAATAAAAATGAACGCCCAAAGTGCTGAGCTATGAAATTAATATGCCAAAGCAATTTTGATTTATTTTTCGCTCGCGGCCAAAGGCAACCCCAAACACAGACCCGCCCCGTCCAAGAATGCCCAATATCCAATGGCCAAATGCCTTCAAATATTAAGCAGCAGACGCATCAGCTGCAAGTCTCAATTATGCCAGCTTTCACACTGAATAACAAAATAGATTTATATGAGAAAGAACAACTACAAATTCCACAAAAATATGGGACGAACATTGAAAGTTTGCCGTATCTCTCGGAGTACGCTCTGCTTGCACATGGCTCAGACAATATTTTATTGAAGTCGACTACGCCTACAAAGGGCGTGGCAGATAAGCTATAGTAAATTTGTAAATTTAAATATATCTCGCTAGGAAAATAATTTGCAGGCAAATGAACAGAATTGAGGCCAGACGGAAGAACGCACAAATGGAAGACGAGCTCCACAATGTCATATATATATACATATATATATATATATATGTATATATATATAGTATAAAGAGTCATGTCAATTGTCAAGATAATATTTTTATACTCGCTCAAGCATTGCAAAGAGTATATTGGTTTTAGTGCTCTAGTCGCTATTCAAGCTATAATCGAGAATTTAAATATACATATTCTTTATATTCTTATTCATATATTTGAAAGTATCTAGGCGAATGTAACTAGATTACATTTCATAACTAAGTTTTTCTCTATTATATAGCTTAACATGAAATCCCATATCTATCCATTGGAGCTGTGAATCATGTTGTTTACAGCTTAAGAGCTAGGCTCAAGTGGCTCACGAGTTAGATTAAGCTGAATGGCATAAATTATGCATCGATTACAATTTAATCTGCTTTGTGGACGAGTATTAGATAGTCAGTCCGACCCAGTTACAATGCATTAAGCTCTATATTGCCATTACAACTCGCGTTGTCGATCAATTTAAACCCATTTAATTAGGGCTTGGCGTTTTCATAAACATTTCAATGTGTACAGGGTATACAATTAACTGAAATGCCTTTCGAGTGAGCTTCAAGCAGCAAAGTACCGCAAAGCCTGCGCATATTGCGCCCAATTAGCTCACAATGGACATGAATGCGAATGTGAATGTGGCATAAGCGTAATGCGTGGCTTTGAGTGAGTGGCAGGGCCAACAGGTGCCACACAGGTGCCAGCTGCCAGTTGCCTGCTGCCTGCTGCCAGTTGCCCGTTTTCCCGGTTGCCATTTGGCAGTCAACAGCGCCGCCTGGCAGGAATTGACTGCAGCACTTAAAATTTAAAGCCTTTCGAGTGTAATTGCGCGCTTGCCGTTAACGAGGCGCTTGTTAAGGCGCACGTGAAACTAAGATAACACTGCACAAGCAGTTGTATACCCTGTAAACTGCAAGCGAGCAATGCTCTGAATAAATTGAAAACTCAAACGGTGCCAAATGAATACCGCCTAAAGGTATGCAACAGTCGAGCTGCTGACTACCCTGTGAAAAAGAATTGCATACCCTATAAGAAAATGTGACTTGACTACCAAATGAGCAGAGCTTGAAACTGAATACTGAATGCAACATGCAGCTAGCTACATACCCTGTAAATCATAAATGAGCAGCCAAGCTGAACTAAAAGCAATTTAGCAAAGGGAAATATACAACTAAGTGTATACCCTATAAATTTTAACCATAAATCAATTTGCCAATGTTAAAAAGAGTAACAAAGCTGAGCTTGAAGTGTTGCGCACAAAGATGACAAACAATTAGCCAAATACCCTGTAAAAACAAACACATACCCTGTAAAGATAGCTAACCTCATGTCATGGAAGGTAAATAAGAGACAAAATAGCTGACGCAGCTAAACTTAATGAGCCGCCAACCAGTTCAGGCACTTATATATAGTTACATATATACGAGGGCAGTCTAATAGCTATTCCAATTAGTATAAATCTATCTAAATTCATTTAAGTAAATATTCATTGATTTTTTTATATTTACAATTTTTCATTTCTTATTTTCTTCTGCATTTCCAGCAGCTGCAATTTCACATTGAAACTGCCAAAGTTTGCTAACGACCCTCGCTTATATATACATATTTTTTAAATGCGCCACGCAGCTAGGGGCCACTGTTTACTTAACAGCAGCAGCAACAGCAACAAGCAGACGCAGCAGCTGTCGATAAAGCCTATGCATGGCAAATTGGCCAAACTAATTGACACCTGTGACGCCCAGCAAAGAGTGGGCGGGCGTGGCAGCTGGGCGGTCAGCCCTAAACAAACAGAAGCCAAATAATGCAAATACTGCGGTTTGTTTCGGGCACCTCAATCAAGCGCCGCAAGAAAAATGCCTTCAAAGCGGTGTTAAAAATTAAAAATAAACAAATTTTCGAAGCGAAAAGCAAAAAAAAAGAATTTTAAAAAAGGAAAAAAAGGACGAAAGGCTGCTGCAGCAGCTGCTCCTTTTTTCATGAATTAGTTATATTTGATATGAGATACATTTATGCAAGCAGCCATATCATATGCGCCTCTGCCTCTACCTGTGTCTATCCCTCTCTCTCTCTCACTCTCAGTATTTATCTATCTTCGTGTCTCTCTGTCTGCGTACCACGCTCTCTCTCTCTCTCTCTCTCTATCTGGCTGCCTGTCTCTCTAAGTCCTTCTTCTTCTTCGCTCTTCGTTTCTCTCTCTTCCCCTTAGTCCTTTCCCTCTCTATACCTCTCTCACACCTTCCTTAAGCTTACCATTTGTGTAATTAATATTTACCTCTCATTGTTTAATTTATGTTCTCCCCAAACTTTTGTGATTTCCATTTTTATTTTACATTTTACTCA